GGGCAAGGAGCAGGGATCATGGGGCCAGGAAGCACCTGGAGGTGCACCCAGCATCGGGATCCAGCAGCCTGAGCCTTGCCAGTGCATCCCAGCCCACCTCTGGGAGCATTTCCCAACCCCATTCCTACTGGGAAAGTCCCCCTGCTCACCCAGCCCAGCAGAACTGCTGACAGAGTGATGTCAGCACTGGGAACACCGTTCCCACTGCTCATCCCTGGGATACACCTGGAGGGATGCAGGCAGGGAGCATCCTTTGGGAAGGGCCCAGCGAGCCCCTGGGGACAGGGAGAGGGGAACACCAACCATCCCAAGCTGCTGCTGGGGTGGTGGAGATGAGCTGAAACCTTGAACCTCCATCTGCTGCACCTTCCTGGGAACAGGAGAGAGGGAGGATGTTGGGAATCACCCAGTGCCAGCACCAGGCCCAGATCTTGGAAAGGCTTCACCAGAAGCAGCTGTTCCTCCCAAGGGACAAGAGAGATAAAGTCACTCCTGACAGATCCACTCGACTCCAAAGGACTGGAAAACCCAGAGGGAAGCGGGCAGCCCTGTTGGGAAGGGATTCCCTTCGCCAGGAGAGGGGCACTGGGGCCAAATGTGGGTTCACTGCCAGCCTGAACGAGCCCCTAATTCTCCCATGATCCCAGTCCTTTGATCTCAGAAATCAGGGATAACATTTCTCCATCTCCAGCAGCAAATCCACGTGCTCCTTGCAGCAGCTCATAAATCAACATATCCCCCCCACCTCCCCAGCCTCAAGCACTGGGATCATCAGAAGCCAAGAATTCCATGCACAAATTGGGTCCCAAACCACCCTGGCACAAAAGCCTGGAGTATCCAAGCCCCCCAGTCTCCAGGTTTTTCAGGGAAACTGAGGCAGAGCAGGACATGGCCTGTCCCACAGGACAGGGGGGATGTGGATGAGTCAGGACAGATCCAGAACAGGAGTCATTTATCCAGGAAGCAACTCCCAGCACCGGGTTCTAGCACGGAGCAGGAGATTGGGTTGCACAACTCCAGCTTCCCCCACCCACCCCCCTCCCACTCGGTAGTTTTCCATATTTACTTCTTTTTTCAAAAGTTTCCTTAATCCCAGAAAATAAATTTATTTGCTGCACCTTCCTGTTTTCTACAAAGAAAAGGCGGGAGGGAGGCGGGGCTGAGGCTGAGGAACACACGGATCAGGAAGAGATCCCTGGATATTTGACAACAGCCAGGGGTTCTGCTCCCAACGGGAATGGGATGGGGGTGAGGAAGAGGGAGGATCCAGGGGAGCTGGGCAGGCACAAGTCCTGCCACCATGACCAAGCACCAAAAGTGGCTTCCTGAGGCACCTGGAGCAAGGGATCAACTCCAGAGCTGCCTCCTGGGCTCCAGGATTTGACCTCCAAGCCCTTAATTTCAGGGATTTTTAAATCCCAATCCTGGCAGGGAGGGAAAGGCTGTTTCCAAGCGCAGGACAGCTCCGAATTCGGGCTCCAGGTATGACCTTGGGCAAGGTCACCTCATCCCAGAACCCCCAGGGGATCAGAGGGACCCCTCCTTGCCTCCTGAGCTTCCAGGGGAGGCTTGTGCTGCCTCAGCCCCGGAGCTCCCAAAAACCCCCCGCTCGGAGCCACCACACAGCACCCCCGGGAAAAGCAGATCCAACACCTCCTGGCCCCTAAAAATGACATTAAACCCTCCCCCCTTCCCCTTCCCTTCTACAGGAGATGCTTTACAAAGGATTCCCTCCCCCCAGAAAGCATTTGGAAGCTTCAGGCAACGATCCTTGGGTGGCCGCGCTCCGTCGGTGCCGATCCCGGATCCCGGCTCCGGGGGACCCAGAGGCCTTTGGGAGCCACCAGGACATCCAGGGAAGGTCACCCCCCCCCAGCCTGGGGGCCGGGATAATCGGCTGGACAGTGTGGGAACGGCTGCAGGGTCATGAGACTGCTGAGGGCTGGCTTGGAGAGTTGTCCAATTTCTCCCCTCATTCTCCTCGCACAACACGCCCTTTGTGTCCCTCGGCCGCGGTGGCTGAGGACGTCGGGGGGCAAATGGGCTGTTCCGAGCCCCCCCAGGAATGGATTCGGGGCCTGGGATGCTCCAGCCACATCCAGAGCCCTTAAAATCCCACCCTGTTCCCTTTCCAAGGGGCTGAACAGCCGGATCATCCAAACCTGGGAATTACTAATGGGACAGGGAGTCTTCCACCTTAAGGACTTGGAGTTTTTTTGGGGTCTTCCACCTTATGTTTCCACCCCTAAAAGCCCCAAACCCTCTGTCTGTTCCCAGCAGGAGCCACCGGGCTCGACGTCCCGGTGGGATGGGTGAAATCCACTTGGAAAAGCCCCTGAGGGCCAGGTGACAAGTGACAAAAGCCGCTGGCACAGCCACCAGCTCGTCCCCTCCTTGGCAAGGAAAAGGTCTGAATGGGCCACCAAGGGGGAGCTTCAACTACTGACCTAAATTTCCCAGGCAGCTCCATTCTCTCCCTGCCCGCTCCGACCACTCCCGAGGAGCTCCAACGGCGCTGTCCCAGACTGGGTGGCTCTGCAGGGCTCCAAGATGCCACATTTCACCCCAAAGCAGCTGCCTGGGAGGAGGTTGGGAACGGCCCTCGCGTCCAACCGAGGGGGGAACCGTCAACTTAAAATACAGCCCCGTGTGAAAGAGGGTTTGTCACGAGCCCGGAGCCCTCCGAGGGATTCATGGAGCTGATTTACGGACCTGGCGCGACACCACCCGCAGCCCCAGCCCTGCTCTGAGCTTCCCAAAGCCCAACACAACGGAGCTCGGGCTGTTCCAGCTCCACAGGTCAGTCCAGCACACACACAGCCCCCGTTCCCGGTGGGAAAATCCGCTTTGGATTGGATGCTGAACGCCGCGGGAGCAAGGGAAGTTCCTCCGCCTCCCTGAGCCGCTGATTTCCCATCAGCACTGACCCCTGTCTGACGCTGCTCCTCAGCACCAAACCAGAATCCCAGGATCACTGAGGTTGGAAAAGACCTCCAGGATCATGGAGTCACACCTTGTGACACATCCCCACCTTGCCCCCCAGCCCAGAGCACTGAGGGCCACATCCAGGGGTTCCTTGGACATCTCCAGGGGTGGGGACTCCAAACCTCCCTGGGCAGCCCCTGCCAACACCTGACTGACCTTTCCAGGAAGAAATTCCTCCTGATGTCCAACCTGGACCTCCCCTGGCACAACTTGAGGCCATTCCCTCTTGTCCTGTTGTTCCCTGGGAGCAGAGCCCGACCCCCCCACTGGCTCCCCCTTCCTGTCAGGGGGTTGCAGAGCCAGAAGGTCCCCCCTGAGCCTCCTTTTCTCCAGGCTGAGCCCCCTCAGCTCCCTCAGGAGTTCTCCAGACCCTTCTCCAGCTCTATTCCCTTCTCTGGACATGCTCCAGCCCCTCAAAGTCCTTCTTGCCATGATGGGCCCACAAATGGACACAGCCCTCACCACTGCAACGTTCATTTTCTCTCCTTCAACCCAACTCATCCACCGGCTCCTTCCAGACCCACCAGCCCCAACTGCAGAGGAGAAGCACTCCCCAAAAACTCCCCCAGCTTGTGCTTTCCTCACCTCCCAATCCCTTTCCTCCAGGAGCTCTGGAATTTTTGACATTTGCATTGAAATGAGGCGACCACATTAAGATGGGATCTCGACCAGAAGCGCTGACAAAACACCTCTTAATTACCAGTTTTCCCCGTAAAACCTCAGTGGGATTTTTTTTTCTTCCCCTCCTTTTGCTTCTTTGAGTTGAAAATTTTAGAGGGACACGAGCAGCTCAGGGCTTGGAAAAATGGAGGGTTTGGGTGGGAGAGCTCAGTCACACCTGGAGAGCCAGGAAGAGCCAATGTTTTCTCTGTGCTCTTATCCGGAAAAGATCCCCAAAAAGTTTTCCAAAGGCAGAGGTGCCGCCCACTGCAGCAGACAGGTGAGAACTTGAGCAACAGCTCGCACCTGCTCGGGGCAGGAAGGGAAAATAAGCATCATCTTCCCTATGGAGCACGAGGCAAAATGGATTTAGGGAACTCCACAAGGTTTCCTGGGATTAGTTGTGTGGAAAGCACGTGGATATTGAGCCTACGAGAATGATGGAGAGGGATCGTGGGTCACCAGTATCCAAAGGATGTGGAGCTGCTGGAATAAGGCCAGAGGAGGCCACGGAGATGCTCCAAGGGTTGGAGCCCCTCTGCTCTGGAGCCAGGCTGGGAGAGCTGGGGGGGTTCACCTGGAGAAGGATCCAGGGAGACCTGAGAGCCCCTTCCAGGGCATAAAAGGGCTCCAGAAGAGCTGGAGAGGGACTGGGACAAGGGATGGAAGGACAGGACACAGGGAATGGCTTCCCAGTGCCAGAGGCCAGGGTGAGATGGGATACTGGGAAGGAATTCTTGGCTGTGAGGGTGGGGAGGGGTTGGGATGGAATTCCCAGAGAAACTGTGGCTGCCCCATCCCTTGGAGTGTCCAAGGATATTCGGCCTCTTGCAGCTCGAGGTGCCCAAGGAAGGAGATCACAAGTTCTCTGGGATTCCTTGGAGGAAAAACACGTGACCGAGGCAGGGCAGCCCCTGCAGCAGCACCGGGAAAGAACTATTAAAAGAAAAAAAAATATTAAAAAAATAAATAAAATAAAAAATAAAACAAAAAATAAAAATAAAGCCGGTGCTTTGCTGCCCAAGGCCCGAACATGATCCCCACCCACTGGAGGAACAGGAATTTATTCCCTACCAACAGCTCACCCCAATCCCAGCTCACACAACACCAATTTAAGGAGAGACCATCCCAGTCCCGCTTTTCCTTCTCCCAGATCCATCTGAAAACCCG